AGTCAAGCGTGCAGCTGCCACGATGCCACTTGCCACCAGTTTGGCCATATTTCAGAGCTGCAACATCACTGGAGTGCCCAAAAGCACAAGGTGTGCAATACTCAGAGACATGGCCAAGGTAAGAAAGGCTGAAAGACGACCACCACTGAACAAGACACACAAGCTGAAACGTCAAGACTGGGCCAAGAAATATCTCAAGACTGATTTTTCTAAGGTTTTATGGACTGATGAAATGAGAGTGAGTCTTGATGGGCCAGATGGATGGGCCCGTGGCTGGATTGGTAAAGGGCAGAGAGCTCCAGTCCGACTCAGACGCCAGCAAGGTGGAGGTGGAGTACTGGTTTGGGCTGGTATCATCAAAGATGAGCTTGTGGGGCCTTTTCGGGTTGAGGATGGAGTCAAGCTCAACTCCCAGTCCTACTGCCAGTTCCTGGAAGACACCTTCTTCAAGCAGTGGTACGGGAAGAAGTCTGCATCCTTCAAGAAAAACATGATTTTCATGCAGGACAATGCTCCATCACACGCGTCCAAGTACTCCACAGCGTGGCTGGCAAGAAAGGGTATAAAGAAGAAAATCTAATGACATGGCCTCCTTGTTCACCTGATCTGAACCCCATTGAGAACCTGTGGTCCATCATCAAATGTAAGATTTACAAGGAGGGAAAACAGTACACCTCTCTGAACAGTGTCTGGGAGGCTGTGGTTGCTGCTGCACGCAATGTTGATGGTGAACAGATCAAAACACTGACAGAATCCATGGATGGCAGGCTTTTTGAGTGTCCTTGCAAAGAAAGGTGGCTATATTGGTCACTGATTTGTTTTGTTTTGTTTTTGAATGTCAGAAATGTATATTTGTGAATGTTGAGATGTTATATTGGTTTCACTGGTAATAATAAATAATTGAAATGGGTATATATTTGTTTTTTGTTAAGTTGCCTAATAATTATGCACAGTAATAGTCACCTGCACACACAGATATCCCCCTAACATAGCTATAACTAAAAACAAACTTAAAACTACTTCCAAAAATATTCAGCTTTGATATTAATGAGTTTTTTGGGTTCATTGAGAACATGGTTGTTGTTCAATAATAAAATTAATCCTCAAAAATACAACTTGCCTAATAATTCTGCACTCCCTGTATATGTAGCCTCCACCTTGTAGAAAGCACAGATTAGGGACCACCCAGATATTAGTCGCTTTCTTTTGGTCTCCTATGATACTTCTCTTATACTGTTTAGACTTTATATGAGTGTTTTATTTTTGCCTCTATTCAAGGCCCTGCTTTACATTTGGGATTTAGATTTTATCTGCATTTTGTCTCACTTTACTAATTGTGACCGTTTAGGTGATATTCCCCTCTACCTGTTTCCCTGCCTGGTTTTGATACTGTGTATTTTCTCTACACTCTCATATTGTGGCAACTGTATTTTTTAACCGTAGTTATCTAGTGTTTACTTTTCCACTAGAAAATCTTAATACACCTTATGTTACGGTGGCGGGGCCAAATGCTGTTTTGGCCAAGCAGGACCTCCTCATAGAGATGCATTGAATCAATGCATCTCTATGAGGAAAATTCAGCGTCTCTATGCAGAACATGGGGACGCTAAATGGCAAGGCTGCATTCTGTGCAGCCGTGAGCCAGGAAGCCCCTCCAGTGGCCATTTAAGGAGTGGCCACTTGGAGGTGTCCCTAGGGGTAATGTAAACACTGCCTTTTCTCTGAAAAGGCAGTGTTTACATGGAAATGCCTGAAGGGAGCTGTAGTTGTTCTGGTGACTATAGTGTCCCGTTAAATGTCACAGAGAGGCCAACACCCCACCACAACGTTCGATGGCCACGAATCCCCTTGCGCCAAAGCATAGATAGAGCCTCTCAAGCCACTTGGCAACTAGCAGGGCCTCACCTGTCACCAACCTAGTGAATTGTTTTGCACTTGGCACTAGCTAGCCAGCCAGTAAAAAGATCCTGATCCTAGCTAATTATTTATATATTGCAGTATGTCTCAGATCCCTGTAAGAAGGTGATGACATGTCAATCCCCAGTACTCATAGAAACATAGAATGTGACGGCAGATAAGAACCATTTGGCCCATCGAGTCTGCCCAATTTTCTAAATACTTTATTTTTTATTAGTCCCTGGCCTTATCTTATAGTTAGGATAGCCTTATGCCTATCCCACACATGCTTAAACTCCTTTACTGTGTTAACCTCTACCACTTCAGCTGGAAGGCTATTCCATGCATCCACTACCCTCTCAGTAAAGTAATACTTCCTGATATTATTTTTAAACCTTTGTCCCTCTAATTTAAGACTATGTCCTCTTGTTGTGGTAGTTTTTCTTCTTTTTAAATATAGTCTCCTCCTTTACTGTGTTGATTCCCTTTATATATTTAAATGTTTCTATCATATCCCCCCTGTCTCGTCTTTCCTCCAAACTATACATGTTAAGATCCTTTAACCTTTCCTGGTAAGTTTTATCCTGCAATCCATGAACCAGTTTAGTAGCCCTTCTCTGAACTCTCTCTAAGGTATCAATATCCTTCTGAAGATACGGTCTCCAGTACAATACTCCAAGTGAGCTCTCACCAGTGTTCTGTACAAAGGCATGAGCACTTCCCTATTTCTACTGCTAATACCTCTCCCTATACAAGCAAGCATTCTGCTAGCATTTCCCGCTGCTCTATTACATTGTCTGCCTACCTTTAAGTCATCAGAAACAATTACCCCTAAATCCCTTTCCTCAGATGTTGAGGTTAGGACTCTATCACTCCAGTCTGGTCCACTACACCTATTCTATCAGGTCATAAACCATTCCTTGTATTACGTCTGAGCTACGCAGACACAACATTCTTTTCCCAGCAACGGCCGAGAAAGTGTAACTGTTCAGGCTCATGCATACCAATACGGAGTTGCTCGAACTACACCAACCTCCACGCAACGTTGTAAGCACTCGTGTCCTCGAAGGGGTAAATAAATGAGAGACTGGAAAGACTAGAAATACCTTTTTGAACCATGCCGTCAACAGGATGCTGATCATTACAGAGTCCTCCGTATGCATACGATCATAACACGCTTCGACTTTGAGCACGTACGCCTGTACGTTCAGTTATCCAACGGGAAATTGACTTTCTGTCATGCTATCCGACTTTCTGCCACGGTTGATTTAATCAGTTTCTACTAACTGTATGTTTGTTCAGGGTGAATTTCACTACTATCATATTCAGTATTTCATTAATATGTAGCTTTACAGTGATGCCTTCTTCAGCTTTTGTTATTAGGCTCCTTACTGAAACATATCAACTTATATTATATGCCTTCAGCAACTACTATGGATCAATCTGGATCAATCATGTCAAGCCCAACTCCGACAGTCCACCCCGCCCCTCTCGACCGTGGTCGACTCGGATCGCCAGCCCAGGTAAGTCAAGGGCTTCTATTTGCCGCGGATGTTCGAATTTAATTAACGTTATTCTAAGTGTATTTTAATCTATCTATCTATCTATATATATATATATATATATATATATATATATATATATATATTAAAGAGACACCATAGTCACCCTGAACAACTTTAGCTTAATAAGCAGTTTTGGTGTATACAACATGCCGCAGGCTCACTGCTCAATCCTCTGCCATTTAGGGTTAAATCCCGCTTTGTTTATAAGACCCTAGTCACACCTCCGCCGTAGCGACTTGCACAGCCTTCCATAAACACTTCCTGTAAAAAAGTGAGCCCCTATTATTTAGGCTTTCTTTATTGCAGGATTCTGTTTGATGGAATTTTCGTATCCCTTGCTATGTTAATAGCTTGCTAGACCCTGCAAGAGCCTCCTGTATGTGATTAAACTTTTTTTAAATTTAGAGATTGAGATACAATTATTTAAGGTAAATTACATCTGTTTGAAAGTGAAACCAGTTTTTTTTTCATGCAGGCTCTGTCAATCATAGCCAGGGGATGTGTGGCTAGGGCTGCATAAACAGAAACAAAGTTATTTCACTCCTAAATGACAGTGAATTGAGCAGTGAAATTGCAGGGGAATGATCTATACCTGTGATGGCGAACCTGTGGCACACCGTGCCCTCTCTGTCGGCACGCGGCCATAGGTTCACCATCAATGCAGAGTAGGCACCTGCCTGCCCGAAACAGCAGGCGCCTACTCTGCTTCCGTGTTGGGAGGCAGGGGGAGGGATCTGTGAAGCAGCTCCCTTGTCCTCCCTCGAGCAAGCTGTGTGGAGCGTTGCTGCGCGTTACCATGGAAACGCTCCACACAGCATCGCGCGGGAAGACAGGGGAGCTGCTCCCTACAGAACTTACCACCACCGGACCACCAGGGATGGCTGTGCCCCCCCCCCCCTCTTTCATTAAAGGTAAGAAGGGGGGGAATACTGATGTAGCTTACTTTTTAAAAAAAACACCTTTACCCCCCCACACAGTACCCCTACCCCCACAAAGCACCCCTACCCCCACACACAGTACCCCTAACCCCCACACAGCACCCCTAACCCGACACAGCACCCTTACCCGCACACAGTACCCCTACCCCCCCACACACAGTATCCCTACCCCCACACACACAGTACCCCCCCCACACACACAGTACCCCTACCCTCCACACAGCACTCCTCCCCACACCCAGCACCCCCACCCCCCACACACAGCATCCCTACCCTCCACACACACAGAACTCCTACCCCCCCACAAAGCACCCCTACCCTCACACACAGCACCCCCCCACACACACGCAGTAACCCTACCCCCTCACACAGAGTACCCCTACCCCCACACATCACTCCTCCCCACACACAGCACCCCTACCCCCTCACACACAGCAACCTTATCGCCCCCCACACACAGCACCCGTACCCCTACCCCCACACAGTACCCCCAACCCTAACATAGTACCCCTACCCCCCACACAGTACCCCTACCTCCCCACACAGCACCCCTAAACCCCCACATGGAACCCCTAACCCCCCACATGGAACCCCTACCCCCCACAAAGCACTCCCTCTAAACGTAAACCTCAGTATTCAGGTTTAATTGCCGTGTTGGCACTTTGAGGGGAAAAAAGTTAGCATGTATTGCTGTTTGGGCATTCTGGCTCAAAAAGGTTCGCCATCACTGGCCTAGAAGATTTTGTTACTACCATGAATGCCACACTGGAGAAAAGATCTGATAGCAACAGGACATCAGCATTTTTGCTAATAAACCTGACACTCAAAGAGTGCATTGTGGTACTTTTATTTTACCCTAAAACACCCTCTCATTTTTGTATATTGATCAACATTTTTGGTGTGACTTAAAAAAAAACCCAACAATTAAAAACGCAAACAATTGTCTTTGGATTGACTATTTAGATTACTGCCCCCTCCCCATGATATAAATAGAGAAAATAACTTACCTTTCAGACCT